GGCGTGCGTACGGGTATTGACTATTTTTCAATGCAAAAATAATTTTAACTTTAACGGTGGCGTGCGTACGGGTATTGACTTCGATATTTAAAAAAAATGGCACGCCAATAGTTTTTTGCCAAATAAAAATAATTTTTGAATTCCCAATTCAATTTGAAACAAATGATCTCTCTTGAATTGTTTTCTTTCGATGCGCCATTTTTGAGTAAAAAAATAAAAACCTTTCTATTGTCTAACTTGCAAAATTATTATTAATTTAATTGGAAAAATTAAACACATTAGGGGTAATGAACAACAACAATTGACAACATGAACATAAAATTAAAACCAACGAAATGATTACAAAAATTGTTGAAAATGCTTCCGCCCTCCTTCTCATGGAATTGCGCACTCGTTGAAATATCCCTGGAGTGTTTTTTATGCTATCACAAGCTGCAACTATTCTTTCTCTTAATTCCTCTACAGTGTTAATGGGACTTGTGTACACTAGTGTCTTAGGATAGCTCCACAAAAAGAAATCTCAACTTTTGAGGTCTGGGGACCTTGGTGGACATTCTTGGGGCCCACCGAAGCCAATCCAACGATTTGGACAGTTTGTAAATAATCACGAACTGCTACACTGAAATGCGCTGGTGCATCATCATGCATGTACCACATATTGTTTCTTATTACTAACGGAACATCATCAAGCAGCAAAGGCAACTGTTGTTGAAGAAAATTGAGGTAAGTCTGTCCGTCAAGTCGTCCCGGCAAGAAGAATGGGTTAATATAGTGGTTACCAATAATTCCTGCCCATACGTTAAACGAAAATTGGTGTTGGAAATGGGTTTCGGTTACGGCATAGGGATTTTCTTCTGCCCACAAATGATTATTGTGGAAATTTTGAATGGCACTTCGAGAAAAATTAGCTTCGTCCGTGAACAGAATCACTGATTCAAATTGCGGATTTTGTGTAATTTTTTGAAGATACCACTGACAAAAGGTCACACGCCTTGGAAAATCAATGGGAAGTAATGCCTGTACTCTTAAAATATGGTAAGGATATAACAAAAACTCCATTAAAATTCTCCAAACAATTTGATGGCAAATATTTAAGTGTCTAGCGATCTTCCTCCTACTCATTTCAGGATGTTCTTCGACTTCGTGCGGCACTGCTTCCTAAATTTCAGGTATTCTCACACTTAGAGGCCTACCTTCAGATGTCCTTTTCGACAGAACCAGTTTAAAAAAGACGACGATGAATATTATAAAAGGTTCGACTATTTGGCAAAGCACGATCGGGATATCTCTGGTGATAAATCCGTCTGGTTTGCTCACCATTACCGTCGGCAAGGCCATATACGTAATGCATTTCCGCCATTTCTGCATTTGAATAAAGCACCATTATTAACAAGATTGTAAAAACTAAATAATGAAAAAGATGTCACAGCGAACAGATTTAAATAAAAGGGACTTGTCAGATGTCAAAAGCCAGTGACATATTCCAGAGCAACTAGATATTTATTGCTAAATTGCATTCTTCAATTAATACGTTAATTTTCTCGGACAGTAGAACGGTTTTTATTTTTTTACTCAAGAATGGCGCATCGAATTTACCAGAGACCATTTGATTTAAATTGAACGGGAAATTCAAAAATAATTTTTATTTGGCAAAAAATCACTGGCGTAACATTTTTTTCTTAAAAAATATCGTACGCACGCCACTGTTAAAGCTAAAAATTATTTTTGGATTGAAAAATATGCAACTTCATCAACTTTAACTACGTACTAAATATCAGTGAAATATCAGAAGCGGTTCTGAAAATATTAATTAATTTCCATTTTTTTCCTAAAACTTGGACCATAGTTTATAATGCAAACTAATATTAATTTTTCATGTAGATTCACACCCTTAAATATTCGCATATCATTAAGAAACACCCTGTATATTTAGTGTATGAGCGCATGGTCCCAGAACCTTCTACTTTAAATGTATAATAAAATTAATTCACTAAGATGAAAACATAGAAATAGAAGTGTCGCTCATATGGCGTAGTGGCAGACGTTCTGGTCTACAATCGAATCTCGTTCCAGTAGAATTTTTTTCTATGGATGTTGTTATTGTACTAATGTCGGTCTCAGACCGTCTAACGTGCAGGTACCACCCGGCGGATCTCTAACGCGGGGCCAGAAGGTGTGCACGTGTTCCATTCAATGAGTATTTCAACTAATCTCCATAACTTTGAAAGTGCAAACCTGTCTGATTGATTAGAGTCAGAGTATGTCTGCTGAACATAACTGTAATATAGTTCAATGACGTGAAAGCTTAGCAGATATTTGCATTACAAATCCCATCCCGCATTCGCCCATGCGTAATATTCCCGCAAATCTCCAAGCTGCAGAAAGTCCGCGTAATTACAGGTGATTATGCCTCCCTAAGGCCTATCCTGATATCTGCCTTGTGTTGGAGGTACTCCAGCGTTGCCAGACTGAACTTCATAAAAATTACGTCAAGTAGTTTGACTGCACTTCCCACGCAACGCTGTCATCAGCCCATAAAGGCTTACGTTCGGCACAAATTAGCTATTGACATGTATAACAAAAGAATAAATGACTCAAGTCAGCCAAACAGGCCCATACAGTAATTTCATATTCCCCTCGCATTTAATAACGTTGGGAGCTAGAAATTTTTTCCCTCTCCTTAGGACAGTATATCGACCATCTGGCAACGTTGCTCAGCTCCACCAGTCAACTATGTTATAAGCCAGCGCCTGCGGTGGACTGTAAGACTGTAAGCGGTCAGGCACAGACAGGACCCTGTGCACATACCCATAGGTTCGTAGCGTTTCCATGCGATCGAAACGCGACACGTCTTTTGTATACCCTATTCGGAGTCCATTTACGCCCCGGCACAACAAAGATGCATCGCGGCAAAGCGACAGCCGCCTAAGCGTTGCAATAGCTATTGGTCATTCGGCCATAAAACTAGGAACAAGCGCAGGATTCGACAGGATAGGACTCAGGCTCTGGGTCGCCGGCAGTTGCTGTTCATATTCGGTGCTTACATAGCGTGTGTTTATACGTTAGCATGTGGTCTACGGATACAGCAGATGAAACTGATTTCTCCCAATGCTTCCTTTAGCCATGCTTCCCCTTCAGTGAAAAAATTGTCCTTAACGTTTATAAGAGCGAAATTTTAGAGCATCCTAGAATGCAAATTCATGATAATTGAATGACGTTTGGCGAACTAAACAGACTTATAGTATGTCCTAAGACAGTTGCCAACACTGGCAAAGAATATAAAAAAAGCAAAAAATTGTATCCACCACTCAAGAGGCTGCATTACACGAAGCTGTTGGATACAGTTGATGACTTTGTTCGGAAAGCCATCAGACGTAAAGTCCATCAATTTTTGAAAGGCAGGAACTTCCCACCATAGACAAAGTATTACAGGAGGTTAATAGTGATGAAGACTTACCTACATTCAAAAGGACCACATTCTATAGTTTACTCAAAGAACTTCATTGTGAGTATAGAAAACGGGACAGAAATAGTATCTGGTAGATTTGGAACCAACACCTGTTAGATACTCTGCTTGTATCATTATTAGTTTTCTTGAATACTATATTTCCAGAAAAAGGAAAATGATTTGTTATCAGTCACATTGTCAGTGAAGATGGTTTTGTACCCTCTGCCCTATGGCGATTTGGGTAAAAAAAAACGACCGACTACCATGAAGAAATGGACGGGAGTTTATTTGAACGATGGTTTGAAGAAATGCTCCCGAAGCTTGACGACATTGCCGTCATTGTACTTGATAATGCTGCATACCACACTAGAAAACTAGAAAAAATTCCCAGAATGTCCACATGAAAGGCAGAAATTCAAGAATGGCTCCTATCAAAAGACATTAGTTACAATGAAAATATGGTCAAAGCAGAACTTATCCATCTAGTCAGGCAGCACAAATATAGATGTAATCTTAATGTTATTGACGAAATGGCTAAAAACCAAAATAAGGCTATCCCCTTATCACTGCGAATTAAATCCCATTGAAATGATTTGGGCAAATATAAAAAACCATGTGACCTCGAACAATAGAAAATTCTAATTTTCTAACATGAAACATGCGTTTCATGAAGCTTTCAATGAAAACAAAGATGTGGGATCTGGACAATATGATCGATATTCAAATTGAACCTGTAATAACTAATATTAACCATTCACGTACTTCCAGCGAATAAAGGATTGTGAAAAGTATGTACACTTCTTTCTATAAAAATAATCACTTATTTTGTTAGATTATTCCAAGACCATTGAGGAAAATACGGACCTGTACAATCTCGCTTTTGGGCATGTTGTGTTTTGTCTGGGCGTAAATGGAGTACGAATGGGGTATAGATGATGATTTGTGAAATATGTATCGATAGTTGCCGAGAGTAACTGGAATATAAATACACTTCTGCTAGAAAAATGAGATATACCCTCTCCCACCCCTACAGCCTCCCACCCCTAATTTTAAACGTCTCAAACAAATTGATGAGGCGTTTTGAAATGTTAAAAACCGAAGCTTTAGAGATTTTATTTTTTGCAGCTATCTCCGCCTTCACTGATTCAAATGATTTTCCGTCCTTGGCATAGTGGTCACCTTGTGTGAAAATTCCATCAAAATCGGAGCGGCACTTTAATTTATTTATTTATTTACTCGTATATACACTATCCGAAAGGTTTGTTACATCATTTAACGGGTAGGGACACAGGGATCAATTTTAAGTCATAAAAAGGTTCAAAAAATATCTTAAGATTACCAAATGACTTAACCTTCTGTTATGTAAATTACGAAAGAACGCTACGCTTAAGTTAAAGTATTTTGAATTGGATCGCGTTCTAGAATTGGGTAGATGAATAAGAATCTTACTATTCACAATATATATCGCATTGTTAAGTAATTTATATAGAAATACACAAGCATAGTTTTTGGATGCGGACCAAAACATAATATTTTTCAAAAACAGATTTTCTAATGAGCCGTATTCATAAAAGAGAAGCATATCCTCGGAAGCATAAGGTAAAAGTATAAGGTCTTGCTTCGCCGAAAAAGGTAGAAGTGCAAGTATACCCTTGTTTTCATATTCATAATGATTACCGTATACTCGCGAGGATATCCTCCAACAAGAAGTAAAAGGTTGACTGGTATTTGTATCTTGAGCGACATGTCCTGAATTGTTCCAGCTTGTAGTTGACGTGGGAGTTCGTTCACGCAGCATCAGTGACAGTTGTACTCCAGAGCTTACAGAGACCGTTCCGTATTTTTACTGGATACAGTTTTTTATCAAAATAATAAGCATGTCATCCTCAAGTGATGAGGAAGCTATAGAAAATAATGGCAACGACCTGCAGTTCATCGCAGATGACATTGCCATTGCTCCCATTATTTTGCAAAAGTCACAAGTTCCAAAAATAAAAATGAGAAAGGATAATGCCCTGAAGAAGATGTTGAAAAAATACGAATCAGCATTCGGTAAACCATTGGATACTAAAGGCTTATTAAAAAGAAATCAACAACATGAGATCAAGATTGAAGAAAAAAAAGCAGATCTGAAAAAAATCTGGTAATAAAGCAATTAAATTGTTAGATTGGGAAAGAAGGTTGCTGAAAGCTATGGAAGGTGACTGTAATCCTACAATTGGGAAAATTAGATGTGCCATTCAGGTTGGTAGTGTTCAAGAAGAAGGAAGTGAACTATATACCGAGCGCAGTGAGCAAACAGTTAGTAGCGGCAGCCATACAGAAGACATTGCCACCAAAAAGAAAATTAGCAACAGAGAAATACGAAACTGAGGAAACCAAAGGGTTAACTACAAAAGAACTGCAACGACTAGTGCTATTACAGCAGTACCAAACAAGTATTTTACAACAAGAGTATTATAAAACGAAATTAGAAATGATGCAGCGTCAGAAGCCACCAGTAACTTATGATGTTTACAAAGATAAAACTTATTATAACTTATAAATATACTTTAATCATTAAAAATATTTATTATAATACTCAAGTTTCTTCTTATTTGTTGACCTAGTTGGCGGAGAGGAAGTTTGTCATTCTTATGATTTCCTTCATCTTCATCTGGCCCTTGTTCAACTAACTCAAAGTCAGGATTCCCCAAGGTCTTCGCAGCATTATGGAGTTACAATACAAGCAATAATTATTTTCGGCACATTTTCCAACTTTACGCAGCAAACATACTGTTGGATAGGAAACCGACCTGTCAGTTGGCCGAAACAGCGTTCAATTATAACTCTTTCTTGTTTTAAAGGCTTATTATAATTATTATATTTCTGCACCTGGAGTAGGATTTCTAAAGGGAGTGATAAGGCATATTCGGGAATCATGCTCTGATCCAGGCCAACTGTCATCAATACTTGTGAACATCTCTCTGGCATCACAAGTGGCTTGCACATTTAAAGTAGGTTTCCCTTTTCGGTTGATATACTCATATCCATGGCGATTTGGTTTCAGGATTCCTATATGTGTACAATCAATTACACCAATTGCTGTCGGAAATTTATACACGCTTTGCCATATCCGCTTGGCCTCCATCAGTTCATGGTTGGTAGTTGGAAACTTGATCCATTCGTTCGACTGTGCAACCATGCTGTTCCAACTCCACAGTCCGAGATACCGTTGCTTGACTAACACCAAGTTCCTGACCAATACCTTGTTGATATCCAGGGTCACCGAGATAGCGTAGACGTATCTTCATTTTATGAATACATGAAAGTGCTCCTCCTTGAGTTTCCTCATTCTCAACTAAAAATCTGTCCGCAAGCCATTGTAGATTTGCTTCGTCGAACCGATATAATTTTTTGAATTCACGACCAAGTGAAGGTAAACGAGGTTTGTACGTTTTAACATCCCTAACATCCACAATTTCCGCAATCATCGTTTGACCACCTTTCGTTACGAAGTTGAGTCTACTACCGACCACACTCAGACTTTTTGAAGGATATGCTTCCTATGCCAAGTATAAGGTGAAGATTATGAATATCCTTTTACTTATGTCACTGCTTTGAAGGATATGCTCATACTCAAAAAGCAAAAGCATTTACTTCAAATTATTATTAATACCATCTGGAGGATTTCCTTCAAAATTTGCAAGTACAAGGATATCCTTTGTTTTATGAATACGGCTCAATATGTTGTCGCTTTATAATAAACAACATAAAATAATTGAAAAATTTCATAGCGCATCATCGGTATTTAAGGCCGTGTGATTTGGCAACAAGGTACGCAGGGGATGCATTGCGTGTATTATATGCACCCGGGATGCATACGCATGTAATTCCGTAACCATAGCAACCTGATGTTGTACGCTTTCGTAGGGTGCAATGGCATTCTATGTCACTGGGTATATGGGTTATACCCCATACCACCCTTTCTCGCACTGAACATTCTCAAGAGGTCTTTTATTTTTTCCTGCAAGGGTGAGGGATAGTTGCTATGTGCGTAGGGAGGAATTTTCAAGAGGACAGCCCTGTTGGAAGATCACTTTTGTTGGTGACAGGACAGAGAAGTTGCGTTTTCTTTGATCGTGGATGAATGTATTTCGCCTAGATACAGCCTGCATGCAGTTTGAAGTCGCTAGAGAAAATTTTAAAAATAATCTCTTAATTTCAGTTTATTAAAAAAATAGTGGGTTGAAATACTCAAATGAAATCGAAACATGACTAGAAGTGTTCACTTATATCGTAAAAATCTGTATCTCAGACTATGGAAAATGAATCTACAATATAGTAAAAATGAAAAAATAATGTGTGTGACTGTTATGTCTAAAAATGCATAATACTCGTATTAGCGAGATCAGAAGCTTCTTAATGAACGTTTTTCATTGATAAAGATGCATCTCCAATTTCCAACCTCGCCAAAATTTTTCTGAAAAAGCGCATTTGTGTCTCTGAAATGACGATGTAATTATTATTTTTTCGTTTTTGTCCGTAGCTACGTTGCCATCGAACCAATTTTCGAAACCTAAAAATGTTCATTACCTTGGCACAGTAGCAGCCTTATTTCATCAAAATCCGAGTTATAGAGACAGTCTGACTGATGATGTGTTATGTTTTTCTCGTTATGTATACTGGGGTCCCAGAATATCATGTCATATTGGGGGATTTTTTCCTAAATTTGGGAGATTTTTACTTCCCTTGGGCAATTTTTGGGGAATAAAATGTTCTCAGGGATTTTTTGGGAAAATAAAGTCGTGGGGTGTTTTAATCCATTATGCATCAAGTAAAACTGACCATTGCTGAATACAAATCTTTATTTTTCATTAGCGCCTTTTTCTTCATGGTCGCACCATACAGACTAACTATATGAGGGTAAAGTCATAGAGAAGGAATGAAGCCAAAAATGTCGAGAATATATTCGGGCTATCTTCTATAGCCATTGCGTCAGAAATCTATTTCAGGTTTTGCGCATGTGGCGTCGCTCTCATCTCTCTCTTTCGCCTCTCTCTCTCTCTCTCTCTTCATCACCTGCATGTGTATACAAATGCGCAGAAGCTCTAGCGAGTTAAATTTCAGCGTAAGGGTTAATGGTATGGGATATAACTTGAAGCAGAACGATTGTGCCAAATTTCTTGGTGTATACGTGGAGTCCAAGCTCTCGTTTGCGGGCCAAATTAAATATCTCGCCAAAAAAACATCAGTTCATTCGTTTGTCATATGGCAGCTCTGGCAGCATATCAGTATACAACTATTAAAGTTATATGACTTTGACATGTTTCATAGAATGAGTGAACTGTTTATCATCCAATAAAGAGTTATTAGGATCATGCTCTACAAAAATTCAACATATCCTTGTAGAGATCTATTCAAAAAGTTGAGCATACTGGCAGTGTACTCCTTGTATATTTATAAGTCTTTAATCTGTGTCAGGAATAATCATAATCAGTATCATACTAGGAATGATATCATTAGCACATCCGGCTATAATCTCCGCGCAAATTGCAGTATTGTCATAAGCTTGCTTCGGTGTCCAAGGGTGCTTCGATAATACCGATAAGATTGTTCAACCATTTACCATCATCCTTAAAATCTAGCGAGAGCACCTCAGTGTTCAAACGCAAGGTGTGCGAATTTCTGCTTGAGCATTAATTTTACACAACCGATGAATATGTGTCACGGCCATTATGATTTTAATGTGTTATTGATTTTAACGTATTGTGATATGAATAGCACATAACTACTTTTTGCATGTATATTTAAGACTGTGAGAGCAATACGTACGATTGTGCCTATGTCAGCTTTACAGCATAATTTGCCTTTTGCGATGTTCGTTTAAAAAATGCTTAACAAACAAAAATACCGAGATATTTATTCGTGGTTTACCTTGGATTGAAAGGAATTGAAATAATGCAATTTTCAAAAAAATGATAATTAAAAAATGCGGTTTTATATAACCTGTGAAATTACGATCATCAGATAAAATTAATTACAACTCACTTAAAATATCAAATAAAAAATTATAGTAAAAATAAAATAAGAGGGCAATCAAATCAGTACAATCTAATGTCGATATCACTGGTATCAGTAAATTGTGTTTTTATACATTAGATTCAGCTACCTCTATCTTATGTTGTTGGTTTCTTGGCAAAGTCGAATACGGCGGGGGTGCAGATTCACGTGTACTTAGGCTTGGTGGATTCTGATGCCTCCTATATGCCTCTATATGACCGATGATTACGTCAGAGGTCACAACCAGGTCTGTGTGCCATGAAGACAGTACACAAGTAGCCTGAAATTGAAATCGTTGAGGTCATTCTTTGTTGAATCAATATTTCTTAGCTAATGTTGCCGCTTGGTTGTCGAGAAATATACGAAATCTAAGAAAAAATAATTTCTGTCAAGCAGATTTACTCAACACTTCCCACGCAACGCTGCCATTCAGTTAATGAAAGAGTTAATAAAATGTTTTCAAAGAACATGTATAACACACGAATTAAATAGACCAACTCAGTCAGACAGTCCAATGTAATTTGTCCACAGTCCCCACCCATTTGACAAGTACCGGCAATGTTGAAATCCGAATTGCAACGAGTCAACCGCCAGCGGCAGCAGTTTCCTCGCGACAGGTCTACCCTCTACGAGGGTGTCGAAAATATTGCGTTCATTCTCAAGTCTTAAGAGCAAATATCCTTCCTCACCCCCTACAATATCCTGTCCGCTCGAATTCTTTACCCCCAAAAAAAATTCCATAAATGAGTCTTCGGAACGTCAAAAACGAAATTTGAGTGATTTTGTGTTTTCATTTTTTGCCGTAGTTTCGACGTCCCTGGATTAAATTTCAAAATTTGCGATTTTATTTCAATCTTTTTTTTAAGCTTTACTATTACCCAACAGCTAACCATTTACATTGTAATTCTAAATTATTACATGCCTAACTACGAAAAACAAATTAAATGTGTATAACAGCTTGATCCACAAGCTTATTCAATGTGCAAGTGAATTATAAATTATAACATGCCTAAGTACAAAAGAAAAACAATTAAAGGTGAATAACAGCTTGATGCACAAGCTCCTTCAACGTGCAAATAAAAATGTCACAGTAAGTAGATATTCTGCTATAGTTGCTACACATTACATGGATGGGCGACTTAACTAAGATATTGGTTCTTGGCCTACTATACTTGAGCGTGGTACTAGTCCTACTGCTGATCCTAGGTACATTAAAATTGATTAAACGTAGGGCGGAAGAGCAATCTATGGTTCAGGATAAGTTCTATTTATTTTGAAAGCCAAATATTTTAATTTTTTGCATTGAACCCTTTCAATCGCAGTGATGTAGCAGTCATATAAATGATTCCATATATCACAACCATATTCTAGCTTCGGCCTTACAAGCGAGTTGAACAAAATTTTAGTGACATCGATATTTGAAAAGCTCCTACATGTCCGCACAATAAACCCATACAGTTTCAACGCCTCAGACATTTTTTTTATATCGCTCTACATGTTCTGCAAATGTTAATTTACAATTAAAAATTATCCCCAGGTCCTTGCAAGTGGCTGCTTTTTGAATTTCACAATTATTTATTATATACTTGTGATTAACAACAGTGCTTCCTATGCTATACGAGACGACCTTACACTTTTGAGCATTGAGGTAAAGTTCATTTTCACTACACCAGTTTTCAATAACAGCCAAGTTATTTTGAAGTAAGTTGCAATCATCAACCTCATTAATTCTTGAAAAAATTGCTATTCGCTGTCGCTACTAAATCAATAATACGAGCCCCTTCCCACTTCAGTTGGCCCAACTATTGAAATCTTAGTTTTTTTCTTATCAATCACAAATAATAAAAATGTAGCAGGGTGTTATATGTTTAAAATATTAACAATGCATATTTTGATAATATATAGTAGAAAACACCAACTTTATCACTCCCTAATCAAATTTGCAGCATAAAAATAACACATGTTGCAATTACAGCATATCAACCTATTTTTATTTCAATGCAAAATAAGTCTATAACGCATAGGAGGCTGTGAAAAATAAAAGCCATGACAATTGTTTTAATTAATCACAGCTGTCAGAATACGTTTAAAATAATTTTAGGTAGTTAAGGTTTTCAAAATGGGTAGAGGAAAGGTTATTAGTGAGAAAATTCGGTTCGATAATTAAATTTTTTATTTTGGGAAATCAAACTCAGAAATTGCAACTTTGTTAGACTTGACGCGGTACAGTGTGAGAAACATTGTTAGAAGATATAACGTAACTGTTTCAGTTAATATTAAGCCACGATATGTGAAAAAAGTAATATCACAAATGACGGCCGAAGAGCATTACGAAGAATAATCGTGAAAAACACGCGTGCCATTTATTTACAATTAAGTGCTCTGTCGAGTGACGCTGTGGGAAGGAGAATTTCGAGGTCCACAACTCATAGAGAGGCCCACAAACTGAGATTTAGCACTTGCAAGGTAAGTTTTCTTATAAAAAAAAGTGAAGTAAAAACCCTAATGTTGCACAACTTGTTTATAGGCCAAAGAAAAGCCACTATTAACTCCACTGCAAAAGAAATCGGCTTAGATGGGCTAAAGAACATAGACAATGGATACCTCAACGATGGTGTGCAATACAATAGAGTGATGAGGCCCGATTCGATTTTTGTGTTGGTGTCAGTCGCAGTAGAATTATTCGCAAAAAAAATGAAGCATTCCATGTTGACTGTCTGAAGAGAAAAGTGAAATTTTCAGCATCCATTATGGTCTGGGTCAGTATGTCATCAAAAGGAGTAGGAAAACTTCATTTTATTGTTGGAAATGTGGATACAAACAAATATTTGCCAATTTTAGAAGAATCGCTTTTACCAGTGATGGAAGAATATTTCACATCCGGCCAAGATTTTGTGTTTCAGCAAGATGGTGCAGCGTGCCATACCTCAAAAAAGGCTATAAAATGGATGGAAGAAAATAATGTACCACTTTTGAAATGGGTTTCTAGCAGTCCATATCTGTCACCTATTGAAACTTCGTGGCACGAGATGAAAAAGGTTCTACGACAGCATCCTGCTCGTACAATCACCGAACTGAGACAAAAGCTTCAAGAAATATGGGATTGTTTTACACCAAATTTTGGCCAAAACTTGGTTAACACTATGCCCCCAAAGAATTTCAGCCGTAATAAAAAATTAAGGTGATGTTACCCAATGGTAATCTTTCATTTGTTGCTTTGTTAACTTCGCGCATTTATTCGCACATTGTTTATTTGTTCAGATGTTCTATTAGTTATAGGTCTAAGTGATTTCAAATATGTATTTTTTAGGACTAGAGTGTATCTAAAATGTTTTTGAGAAAATAAATTGTTTTCGAAGTAAATAGTTTCGTCATGTTTAGTTTATAAAGGCATATTTTAGTACAAATCTTGAAGTGGGCCAACTGAAGTGTGAAGGGGCTCTTATATAAAATGAACAGCAAAGGACCTAAGTTCGAGCGTTGCGGAACACCAGACGTAACTGAATTGGTGGCTGACTTGTATCCCTGATATGAAACAAACTGAAACCTATCCGACAAGTACGAATTAAAGAGATCCATAAGCTTATCAGAAAATCCAAAATTAGCAAGCTTTGACAATAGCTTTTTATGAGAGATTTTGTCAAATGCTTTCGAGAAGTCAGTGTAGATAACATCTGCATGTCCTTGACCATCCAACACTTCCGAGATGAATTGTACAATAAGAAATAGATTGGTGAGTGTAGATCGCTTATCTATAAAGCCATGTTGGTTCGTTGAAATGTAACTTCTAACAGGTGGTTGAATTCTATTGTAAAGGGTAACCTCAAAAACATTTGAAAAGTTGCAAAGAATGCATACAGCTCTATAGTTTTCAATATTGGCTTTATCCACGTCTTTAAATATAGGACAAATTCTGGCATGTTTCCACAATTTTGGAAACTTGCCAGTTCTAAGCGATATATTGAATATTCTTCTAAAACAGGTGAACAGTCCTTGATAAAAAATGAAGGGATGTTATCAGGACCCGATGTCATTTTATTCTTCAGTTTACGAATTGCTGTAATTACTTCATCTTCGGTAAGGTTTTCAATATTGAAAACTGGAAGGTCGGTTTCAGTACTATTACCACTAAATTCATCGTCATTTGAGTCTATCGTATAAACCTGCTGAAAAAACATTTTGAATACATTCATGATATCATTAGGGTCAGAAAGTTTTTCTCCATCAAAGAACATCTCCCCAGGAATCCTAGTGTTTCTATTCTTGGTATGAATGTATGACCAGAATCCATCTGAATTATTGAAAATATCTCGCTGAAAATAAGCTCCAAGTACTCATCATATGCTGATTTAATTAGACTATTTAGTAATTCACGTAATCTTTTGAATTCCATTAAATAAAATTCGTATCTTGTTTTCTTATATATACTATGATATTTAGCCTTTAATTTTGGCATAGTGGTAACCTTGTGTTCAAAATTTCGTCAAAATCCGAGCAATACTTCCTAACTTACAGAGAGGTCAAGGATTAGCGACAAATAAACTGACGAAAATGGTGTGGCATGGTTTTTCGTGATCTAACATAAGTACATTAAATAAGCGTAATACGTCATTTTAGACATTTTTAGCGATTATAATACTTTCTAGCCAAATGTCAGGGAAAGTAAAGTTTATATCCAAACGGTACTAAAAAATCACTATTTTCATGTTCTATGCATTGGCTAGAGAAGGTACGTATTTACGTAATGTGATTGCGAAAATTCGAGAATTTTTTATGTGTTTGTGAAGACTATTAGATTATAAAGGGTGGCCCAAAATCAACGCAAGTCTGGAATTAAATAGAATACTCAGTCTTAAGTCTTTAGATTGTTATTTTATATTGAACCATAAAGTACTGATGATAGGGTTATGTATGGAATATCACATCGGGCAAATGGTCATCATGCTTTGCTGGCACACACGCACCCTTTTGTGGAAATTTTTCATGACCTTTTATAATGGTGGCTGAATTTCGTTGATGCACCCCTTCGTTTCGTCTTGTAATGCACAGGTGGTTTTGGGCTTGTTTGACGTAGACCTTTGACTTTAAATAACCCCAAAAGAAGAAATCTAATGGTGTCAAAGTAGACGATCGCCGAAACGGGAAAGTACACGACCAGAAAGTGTTGAAAGCACATATTGGACACATGCATAGCATCCAATTTCGACAGAAAGAACTGCGTTATCATATAGCGATATCAAGCACCAGTAACAGTTACTGCTTTATCAGCGTCATTTTCAAAAAAGTATCGGCCAATGATGCCTCCAGTCCAAAATCCGCACGTTGCAGCTACACGTTGTGGGTGCATTTTTTTTTTCGACAATCACGCATGGCTTCTTCGAATCTCAAATACGGCAATTTTGGTGATTAACAAAGCCATCAATGTGAAAATGTGCTTCATCGCTTAGGATTATTTTTCTCGGAAAATCAGTATCCACTTGTTGATGTCCAATAATCCATTCCACGAACTCTCTTCGCTGTTCATGGTCATTAGGCTTCAGTTGTTGTGTTAATTGTATTTTGTGAGAATGGAGACACATATCTTTTATGAGTATACGCTGTAGAGAGCTTCTTGAAATCTGCAATTAATTCTCCTCCACGACGCAGAATTGACGTTCCCGGGTTTTCACCAACACTCTCATGCACGCTTCGACATGGACATTTGAACGGTTTGTTTTTGGACGACCGGTGTGTTTAACGTCTCCAACGCATCCAGTCTCCCTGAATTTTTCAAACTTAACTTTTCACAGTTGACGAGGTGAAATACTATTCCGGCCGTATTTTGTATAACGGACCTTCATTATTTTTATTTTTGAAATACTGTTCATTGGTGAAAACAAAGCTCCATTTTTACTAACCCTAACCTCTCAATTGTCAAATTGTCCTTTTTTCAGGACTGCCCATAATTTACTGCAAACATGGCGGCAAATTCAAATCTTGCGTTAATTATGGGACACCATTTAAAACGACCATTCTCACTTTTCGACGTATTGCAATCACATTAAAAAAAACATGTCACTTATTTCCTTTGGTCTGTCTGTTTGTCTGTGTGTCCGCTAATCTTTGTCCCGTCCATAACACGAAGTACCACTTTTTGAAAATCGGTCCAGGGACGGCGGAGAAAAAGGCAAAAAACAGAAAAAATAAAAAACGCTCAAATGTTTTCTGAAGTTTCAGAGAATCCTGATAATTTTTGAAAGCACTTTTGAGAGTAAAATATTGGGTGTTGAGGTTGTAAGATGCAGGGGGAGGGGAGTACCGCGTGTGACGCATCACGCTCTTAGATATCGGAGAGGGGCAACGCGACGTAGCCAGATGTACTACGGTACTACGGGCAGGTAAAAAATATGATAAGCTAATTGTACGGACCTGTTTGACGTACTTGATCTGTTATACATGTTTGTAACTAACTTTTTTCTTGGAGGGTCTCATGCTGCTTTCATCTGTCCAATCAAAGACAGCCAACCATGGCTAGCTGTTTCGTGCTTTTCAGCATCTCTATGGCATTGTCTCATTACGATTGGGTCTACCTTGTGCTGGACATAATCCTCTATCTACTGATGATGGCATTGCATGGCGAGTTTAGAGCCAACCTACTTGACGCCAAAATATTTTGGTTAGTAAGAATTGAAATTAACCATACTTACCACGACGTAATATTCAACGTTCCATATGGAGCTCCCATCAAACTTCAATATTGTGAAATTTTCTGGTATTAGCAAGGGCAAATTGAAAACATTTTCACCTCTTGGGAAGTTTATCAGACATCCAGCCCTCGACAAAACTTTCCGATGGATTTTTGATCTAGGTACAGTTTCTGGTATACGTGCAGTAATTCTCTGAAAATTTAATTTTGTCTTTGTTTGTATTCAGAATGTAGTTCAAGGAACTTTGAGGAGTATAATGGATGATTGAGCAGTAAAGCAGGGACACGGTACTTCCACAGAACATAACCCATTTTATTGGAGGATTCATATAAACTTGAAACTTGACGTAACAGTTTTCTTTTGGTGATCCGATAAGCTTTTATCTATTTTTTTAAACTGCTGCCTTTTCCGGAACGAGTCGATTTCATAACTTATTGTTATGTAACAAATGAATACTTCATTTTAATGCATTTTTAACCTAAATTGACAAGAAACTTAAAATAAAATGCTATGCGATCATAAAAGGACTTTAATAACATTTTTCCTTTAAGATTATTGTTCTGTAGTGAGATCAGTTCTAGAATATATTATGCACCTCCTTTTCGGAGACCATACTACAAAATACATATAAATCTAATTGAATGCATACAAAACAAATTATTGAGATGTGTAGCCTAAAAATACCCCTAGAAGAAATTGATAGAATTTGATTTGAAAACTGGATCCATGGCAGCGTAAATAAAATTAAAATATTTTTTTCATCAGGTTCCTAAGTGTTCTCATCAACTTAGTGAATAACACTTAGCAACAATTTCGCTTACTTTTGTTATTTAAGATCAATTATTCAGATTTAGTTGCTTTTTTTAAAATGTTTTTGTAGCTCCTGATCATGATGACATAGTTCATCGACAGGTGGAGAATGAAGTTACAAGAGTACACGTTGCACTTTATATAGGGTGTCTCGAAATTGAAGAATGAAAATTTAGTTTTAGTAAAAGGCTTATAGTTTTCATTTTTTTTTAAGAAACTGGCTTGTCTTCAGTTTATTTCATGCCATTTATAAAAATATCAACTTTTTTGAAGCATGTTTTTTTACAACCGGCTTATTGTAGCAATATTTTTGAGAGATAACATTTAAGTATTCAGTGTGTCTCAGATTTGCTTCTATGTTATACCTACAGCAAAGGTTCAATAGGGATGTTTTAGAGGAAACTTGGTGCATTCGATAGCCGTCTTCAGATTCACGATCGATCAATTGGTTTTGGAAATATCAGCGAAAAACCGAAAATGGTGAATTTCGTTTTTCGCCAGTAAAAGACAGCTGTCAATATGCGACATTATTCGGATATTTTTTTAAGGCAAATAAGATAGCGTGTATGACATGTCTCAATCGTCTTTTGTTTCTCCGCAACCTGCCTTAACTTTCATTTTTCTTATGGCCACTACTCGTATATTGGATTCTTCGATTTTTGAAAAGAGCGTAAAATTTCTAGCCTAGTGGTGTCTCTCAAGTGCATAAAGGATTGATTGGAGTATCATCGAAATATCATAACACGTAATGTTTGGTATTAATTTTTTTCGAAGGCCATGATTTTGTCAAAAAATAAAATTGATAAGTAACGCATTTTTTTCATCTAAGGAGGCTCTGACTTTGGCGTTAAATAATTCAAAGTATCAAAATTGTGTTCAAATAAGTAGTAGGTACGTTTTCTCTCATTAAAATCATAAATCTGACAAAAAAATTGTAAAAACCTGTTGAAAATGGTTGGTATTCCCTACTCAAATTAAGAAAGGTTTGACATGTTACCGCTGTACTTGCAGTCGCACAGAAACGCCGATAACTTCATCAAAGTACTTGGAAATGTGCCCCGAACGACGGCAGCTTCAAAAAAATCAATTTAGAAAAATAGTTGATTTAATAATAATAGTCTTCGAACAACCTAAAAGCTAAATTAAAATCGCAACAGAAATATTTTACAAGCTGCCAACGAAATCCCTCGTACATCAGTAAGAACTATAGAATGAGAAACTAGTGTGTCAAAATCAACAGTACAGAGAGTGTTAAATAAGAATAAGTGCCATCCATAAAAACCTACAATAGTTCAAGGACTTAAGGAAACTGATTTTTCAAGGCAAATGCGCTTCTGTGAGTGGTATACGAGTACTAGGAAGTCTGATGAAAATCCCGATTTTGTAAATCAAGTCTTGTGGTCCGATGAGAGTAGGTTTACGAATTGTGGAGTTTTTAATCAGCACAACACTCAGCATTGGGCTGTGCAAAACCCTCACGAAGTGACAGACAGACGTCTACAGACCAGATTTGGAAGTAACGTTTGGTGTGGGTCATTGGTAATTTAATCTAACTTACCTTTTTTAATTGGGCACCTGTTTAAAATTAGATACTAATCATTTGTATCTTATTTGTATTAAAAAAATGTCTGTATTTTCAAAACCGATTGACCGATCGTAAATCTGAAGACGGCTAGAAAGCACTAGGTTTCCTATAAAACTTTATCCATTTAACCTTTACTGTAGGTACAGGGTCCGTCAGAAAGAACGCATGTTTTTTAAATGAGTAGTACAGTCAAAATAAGTATGGAAACATATTTTATTATATCAAAATACTCAGAAATACATGCCATGTTTCTGAGTGAAACAAAATTTACGTTCTAAAACTATGTCGGCCATATGGCGCCATTGAGCCGAAATGCAGGAATCAAGCCTCTCCCGAAATGAGTCCATTGCGTGGGCCAGCATCCGTGCAGGAATTTGGGTTACTTCTCTCCTTATTTCCTCCTTCAAATCGACGAGGGTCCGAGGCTTGCTTTGGTAAACTTTTGATTTCAGGTAACCCCATAAAAAAAATCACACGTCGACAGGTCTGGGGAGCGAGGGGGCCATATAATATCGCGATGACGGGAAATGAGACGTCCTGGGAATTTTTGCCGAAGAAGTTCCACCGAAGTGCGAGGTGTGTGAGATGTTGCCCCGTCTTGTCGGAACCACACTGTTCTGAGACGGATACGTAGACGTGGAAGTTCCGGAAAAAAGGTGTTCAGTATGTGGATGCAACGCTCTGAATTTACAGGGCCAATAATCATCGTTGGGTCTACTGCACACCAAACTGTAACTTTCGGGGTATGCAGGGGGTGCTCATACAACTGTTGGGGTTTTGACTGGAGACCAATATCGACAATTTTGTTTATTGACGTGTAAATGAAAATGTGCTTTATCACTCATAAACAACATCATGTCATTATTATCCAACTGTTCAATCATGAGCTGCGCAAAATTAATACGTTGTGCATAATCCCCTGACAACAGTTGTTGACAAACTTGGATTTTGTAAGGATGCAACACTAAATCCTTCTTCAAGATGCGACGTGCAGAGAACGCGTGGATGCCTAGAGAACTGGTACACAAACGGACGGAACGATTTGGGCTTTGCAGCGTGTCAACTCTCACTCTGTCTACGTTTTCGGGGGTTCTAACGGTACGGTTTCGCCCTGGAGCTTTTTTCTTCATCGCATTACCTGTTGTGTTGAATGCTTCCACCCATCTCAAAATGGTGTTACGGTCTGGTGCTGTCCCACGACGTGGAACACGAAAGTGAACGTGAAACTCACGTTGCGTTCGAACGCAAGATTCGCCATCTTGAAAGTACCGACGTATAGTGAACACACGATGCTCAACGTTCCAAACCATCTTGCCAACTGAAACGGCACTTCTCCCACTATCCAACACGCCCTTCCCCACCGACACGGGACCAGCCTACTCGATGTAGTACCCATTCGAAAAACATGCGTTCTTTCTGACGGACCCTGTATAATAGGAGTCGAGATCGATGTATAGAGAAGCGAATCTGGGACACACTGTATAACAGTAAGTCATGACGTCGACGGGTTTTGGAATTTCAAAATCGAAAAGGCAGAAAAAAATCAAATGAAAAGTTTGTCGGACTCACCAACAGGAATCTGTATGCAAAGTTTTAAGTATATATTAATCTTTCAATGAAATGGTGAATCAGGGGAAGGTAATGTTTTATAAACAAAGAGCTGTGATTTGCTCAAGTTTATGATCTTGTTAAAACTAATACGTACTTTTGCCATGTAAATTCTCACACTGTGCATTACAGTTTGCTCACCTCTACTAATTCCAACTTGACACTTTTAGATCGGACATTTGATGTATTCTTTAACTTCACCTTTACGGTAGCAACCTCACCTGTTGTAAATGCTTTTTTGTGCAGAAATATTTCTAGCGATAGGATACCACCACTGAAGCAGAAAAAACTTAGCTTTCTTTCCGAGTAACTTGATATTGGTTCCTGAAATGTAAAAGTAGATATAACTTTTTTATTTTGTGAAAGTACATACGCATGATGAACTTTCAGTTTATAGTGAATGATCGTGATTTCTATGTCTCACTCGATACTTTAATATGTCTTGTCTACACAAAAAGTAAAACTTAAATCCATATATTGATTGACTTACAAAGAACTCCTGGGAAAGTGTGTTTAGATCAATAATATTTATGAGCGTAAACTTGACTTTAGTTTTGTAGTGTCTCTGATCTTCACTAGCAATGCCTAACAAAAAATAGCGAATAGATCCAAATTCGTTTTTGTATGTTGATGGTAACACTTCTGGAAGCTTTATGCCAAACTGGCACTCACCTAAAACACAATTAAAAAGTGCGTGTATTAAAAATGCGATTTGTATATATATTTCATTGGCGTCAAGTTTATAATTTAATTGGCCTCAGTTTAATAAAAAGGAAAGTTCAAAGAATGAATTAATAGATTAGGTATTTCGGAACTGTCATTTGTTTTTACTAAATTTATGGTTTTTGAATTAACTATGTCAATAGCAGGTACAAATCTGTTGATTTTCACAATGGTGGGCAGAACTATCCAGTAGATTTGCAGAAGCAGACATTAGGAAACGTTTAATCACCATACAGGGTGTTCCTGAACGATATGCGAGTATTTAAGGGTATGAATCTACTTGAAAAATTAATGTTAGTTTGCTTTATAAACTATGGTCCAAAAATGTTCCCTTACAAAAACTCGGGGTGTTGAAGTTTTAGGAAAAAAATGGAAATTAATTAATATTTTCAGAACCGCTTCAGATATTTCACTGATATTTATTAGTACATAGTGACAGTTAATAAAGTTGCATATTTTTCAATGCAAAAATAATTTTTAGCTTTAATAGTTTCGTGCGTACGGGTATTGACTATATTTTTTAAGAAAAAAATGGTACGCCAATGGTTTTTTGTCAAATAAAAATAATTTTTGAATTTCCCGTTCAATTTAAAATAAATGATCTCTCTCGAATTGTTTTCCTTCGATGCGCCATTTTTGAGTAAAAAAATAAAAACCGTTCTATTGTCCGAGAAAATTAATGTAATAATTGAAGAATGCAATTTAGCAATAAATATCTAGTTTCTCTGGAATGTGTCACTGGCTTTTGACATCTGACAAGTCTCTGAGCAAGAAAGACGGATTTATCACCAGAGATATCCCGATCGTGTTTTGCCAGATAGTCGAACCTTTTCTAATATTCATCGTCGTCTTGGCCGCGTGGGTCAGAGTGTCGTGCTACTGATCAGCCGGCCGGCCGGGCCGCGAGTTTGAATCTCGCCTTCGCCATGGATGTTGTGTGTTTCTTTTAGGCAGCAGCGGTGGCCGCAGTAGTAGACTCTTCGGTCTCCTGATCAGTCGCCGTGCGCTGTGCGGGTTCGAGTCCCGTCCCAGAAGAAATTTTTCTCTTGGCTATGGATGTTGTGATTGTCCGTAGGTGGTAGATGGTCTCTGACTGTCGAACGCGGAGGTACCACCCGGCGGTTCTCGTAGGCGGAGCCAGAATGTGTGCATGTTGCATGCACACGTGTTCCCTCGCCAGAGTTCGTGTGGCGTCCCCCCTTTTCCTATGTTTCCCCCTATAGCCCCACGGTACCCAATGGGTGCTTAGGCCTTAGGCCTTCGTGGTAGTTGGAGTATAAAAAAAAACTGGTTCTGTCCGAAAAGGAACATCTGAAGGTAGACCTCTAAGTGTGAGAACACCTGAAATTGGGGAAGCAGTGCTGCACGAAGTCGAAGAACATCCTGAAAGGAGTTCGAGGAAGATCGATATTTGTCATCAAATTGTTTGGAGAATTTTAGTGGATTTTTTGTTATATCCTTACCATATTTTAAGAGTACAGGCATTACTTCCCATTGATTTTCCACGGCGTGTGACCTTTTGTCAGTCATATCTTCCAAAAATTACACAAAATCCGCAATTTGAATCAATGATTCTGTTCACGGACGAAGCTAATTTTTCTCGTAATGCCAGTCAGAATTTCCACAATAACACTTGTGGGCAGAAGAAAATCCCTATGCCGTAACCGAAACTCATTTCCAACATTTTCGGTTAACGTACGGGCAGGAATTATTGGCAACCACTTTATTGGCCCATACTTCTTGCCGGGACGACTTGACGGACATACTTATCTCAATTTTCTTCAACAACAGTTGCCTTTGCTGCTTGATGATGTTCCGTTAGTAATAAGAGACAATATGTGGTACATGCATCATGGAGCACCAGCGCATTTTAGTTTAGCGGTTCGTAATTATTTACAAACTGTTTATCCAAATTGTGCGATTGGACGCGTGGGCCCCAAGAATGGCCACCAAGGTCCCCAGACCTCAATAGTTTAGATTTCTTTTTGTGGGACTATCTTAAGACATTATAGTGTACACAAGTCCCATTAACACTGTAGATATATTAAGAGAAAGAATAGTTGCAGCTTGTGATAGAATAAAAAACACTCCAGGGATATTTCAACGAGTGCGCAATTCCATGAGAAGGAGGGCGGAAGAATGCATACTAAGCGAAGAGGGCCATTTTCAACAACTTTTGTAATCATTTCATTGGTTTTAATATTATGTTTATGTTTCAGTTGTTGTTGTTCATTACCCCTACTGTTTTTTGCTTTTCCAATTAAGTTAATAATAATTTTGCAAGTTCGACAATAGAACGGTTTTTATTTTTACTTAAAAATGGCGTATCAAAGGAAAACAGTTCAAGAGAGATCTTTTGTTTTAAATTGAACGGGGAATTCAAAAATAATTTTTATTTGGCAATAAACCATTGGTGTACCATTTTTTTCTTAAAAAATATTGAAGTCAATACCCGTACGCACGCCACTGTTAAAGCTAAACATTATTTTTGCATTGAAAAATATCCAACTTCATTAACTTTCACTGCGTACCAAATATCAGTGAAATATCTCAAGCGGTTCTGAAAATAAATTAATTTCCATTTTTTTCCTAAAACTTCAATACCCCTAGTTTTTGTAGGGAAACATTTTTGGACCACAGTTTATAAAGCAAACTAACATTAATTTTTCATGTAGATTCACATCCTTAAATATTCGCATATCGTTAAGGAACACCCTGTATAATAGGTCTGACGATGGAATGGTTCCGGGTAGGCCATTATACATGGTTGGGATGAAATTTTTAATATATATATTTTCTCACAAATTTTTGAATAGATCTTTGATGTGACTTCATCCTTTTGGGATTTAGAAAATCAAAATATGTTAGTCTTCGTTTAGCTAACAGGAATTTATTGAACATTTTACATATCTAAGGCCCACGTTACAAGTATTATAATTGCAAAAAATCTCAAGAATTAGAACGTCCACGTAAACCATTTTCGCCAAGAACAATAAGTCTGTATAGCTTTTGAGTATCGGTCCAGTAGCGGCGAAGCTGGGGGCATAAAATAAACAAAACCAAAAAATCGCACAAAACTTGTTATTTGAGGTTTCAGAGGCATCTGATCATTTTCAGGAAAAAAATTGTAGTGGATTAAAAATGAGGTTAGGGTGTGCCTTTTTTGGGGTTGGAAATCTAGTAATAATAAGCACCTTCACACATTTTAGATTTGCTGGAACGTTTGCCCTTAAAACTTGATATTTACGCGTCTATGAATATATCTGCGTCGCGGTCTGACCGATGGATGACTGTCATTGCCGATGAGTGGAGAAGTTAGTCAGCCAGGCTGCCAGATGGTCAGTACTGTAGCTAGGTGGCAATGTTGTTAAATGGGTGGGGACTATGAACTAATTGTATGTATTGCAAATTCTAACTGTATAAGCCTGTTTGACTGACTTGATCCTCTCAATGCTTTTGTGAGGGAAAAGCAAGTGCAATGTCAACCTACTTGATGCCATTTTTTGGAATTGTGTACCTCCTGTATATAGTACCGTGTCTTTTTTGAGGAACACATTGGATGTAACTGGGTAGCTTTCAACATTTGCCATTCCAATTTGTATTTCTTCTTGCCATTTCACACGTTCCTCCCCTATCACTCTTATTTTTATACCTAGAAAAATATACAAAAATAGTCAATTGAATGTACAGGACTTCGAAGTTGAGTCATTTATTTTAATAGTGAGTAGATCTGATCAAAAGAAATAGTTTTACCATTTTTCTGGTAAAATTGAAGTAACAAAGTTATAGCCCTTTGGAAGTTTGAGTACTGCTCTGTCTGAATAATAATATTATGTGCTCGTGTTTGGCGACAACGGATATAATCCGCCGTATCGGTTCATCGCGTCGGAAACAAAAAAGCGAAAGAATTTGGAACGATGTTTTTACAATTATTTTATTCATTTGTATACAGTCAGTGTCAGTGAATAGTGTGTTGCGTGGCTCAAACGATCGGTTTCCCAATCGAGTGCAACCAACCCCTCGTGCCTTTGTTAATGTAGTACAACGGGCTCGTGAATCAGGTGACTTAAGACCTCACAGGGGACCTCACGATCAAATACAGGTCCGCACTGAAATACTTGTCGGGAGGATACTTTATAAAACAAGGTAAATAATTTTTTTTTTATTTTTACACACATATTTTGGTTTATCTTCCTTCTACAATCATTATCTGAAAATTAATGACTCAACTTCAAAGTCACCCTGTATATGTAAACAGTACGTCTAAGATAAGGATAGTAATAGCATTGGAGACGAAACACACATTACTCCCGCAGTAAGAAAGTAATTTGGAACAATGCCTGGTCGGTGAATGTTTCACTAATCGATCAAGTTAACTAGTACGGCCCAGTTATAAAAAATTATAGACGGACTTTGCAACAGAATTATATTCTTAAATTCGCCCTGAGATACGAAACACTTTGCTGTTTAACTTTTTTATTAGGCGCCAAACTTGGAGACATATTTTTCTCTCCTTGTTTCGTTGGTCCATGTACCAAATACCCTGTATATATCCAATTTGCTTCGGCGATGGTTACGTATATAGGAAAACTCCATTTTTTGGTAACTTTGGCTGTCAATAAAAAAGATACCCAACAAAGCTTTAACCTTTTTGTATCTCTAGACTTTTCAACTACCATCTGGAACATATACTATATACAGGGAAGATTATCATGCGGAGAAAGGTATATAACGAAAAGTAGGAAAATAATGAGCAAAATCCGCAAAAAGGAGGAAGGTGGATTCGAGCAGAAAATAGGATAGGTAACCGGTCGCGTGGTTGTGGTTAGATGTCTCCTTGAAAATTCGAGGCCTTCTAGCCATTTTATACTACAATGTGTAGGTTGGCTCTAGTTGTGGACTTCATGTGTCGTTTTTTCCCTCTCCATCTTCCTCAGGTTACACCCGTATCCGGATGTGTGGGCATGTGTAGTTGCATATGTGCATTCATTTCGGGCCTGATGAAGCCAACCAGCAGAAATACGTATCGCTCGGGTTACCTATCCTATTTTCTGCTCAAATCCACCTTCCTCCTTTTTGAGGATTTTGCTTATTATTTTCCCACTTTTTGTTACATATATTTGTGTTGTAAAATTCGTGTATACATTTTTTTATGAGATTTAGTCATCCTGGTCCATAATACGCAATTAATAATGAATTAGTCAAAAAGCAGCATACACTCTACAAATTGTTGTTGTTTATAAATTCAGGCTTTTTGAAATAGTTCATTTTTTCCAATTCTGAAGTTTATTTCTAAGAGTATTCTAAGACATATTAATATCTCATTAAATATAGTGAAAAAGGCCTATACTTCCACGTGGTAACTTTGTCATGCTACAAAAGTAAACCATCATCCTTCAGAGAGATTTACAAATATTAGGAGATTATGGCACCTCATGATTCATCCGGGACGTTGATATTGACATAACTTGCTTATGCTACGACGATATAGGAAGATAACAAAAGTAAACAAGGCACCTACTGTTAACAGTTTTGTTTTTTGCGAAGTTGCACACGATTTTTCCGCTGATAGTTTGGCCAGCTATATACACTTGTTTTTCTAGTTGAACTTTGTACGACATTTTTCATTGCTCTGGAAGATAAAAGTAATTTTAGTTCGAGATATCATCAGCGTTCTGGGCATGATACGCGGTATGCTCATTTGGAAACCTCTCTTTGGATTTATATAGCACCACTTGTGCTTATGTGTGACTTTGTCGTAGATTAAATTGAATTTTTAGCAGTCAAGTGATGGGAAGGCAAGCTAAGCTAACTAACTCCCCACTGGCATTTTTTGCCGACCCCAGGCATCAAGACTAATGCCCGCATGCACCACGTTGCTACGATCAACTTTAAACTAAGATGAACTTCAATCCTCATGTTTTTGTTCCACCAGATAACCTAAACATACAGGGTGTTCATTTGAAAACTTGCCACTATGGATATATCGAAAACCAATTATTAACAGAAAAAACGCCAAGACACGTCAAATGATTTGTCAAGGGGGACAACTTTTTAACCAAAAACTACTTCACATCCTTTCGCCGTCATCCCCCTTAAAAATTTTAAATGCCAAGGGGTATCTAGTAATACCTTGTTTGAAAGGTATTTCGAAGTTCTTTATTTTGACGTTTAATTTTTCAAAATCGGTCAATTCGTTTTCGATAAAATTAGAAAAGTCTTTATTTATCTTAATTTGTTCAAATAGAAAACAAAAACACGAGATATCACTTTTTATTTCAATAAGTGTTTGAAATGTTGCCCGTTAGGGTTTTCCAAATCTACAATTCACTTATAATTTAAAACGGAAACTACCAACATAAACACGACCACACAACAACACAACAAGATTAGACAACAACCAAATAACAACCCTAATTTCTTTCCGCATTACTTCGTGACAATCTTGGGATAGTGGAAATTAATTTACTGATTCAGAGTTTACTTCCAAAATGGTTTATACCCTAGCCATTCTTTAAATCAGTGATTTTCGGTAAATCCGTGGTTGGAAGTTGAATGAACACCCTATGTGGATCTTAGAAAATTGAGTTAAGTCGAAGAACTTCTCTGCTTAAGGTGGAGCTTGTAACCTGAAATGTCACGCTTTGACATTTTTATGATTTGACCGATTCGATATACGACCACTGTCTGTGTGTCAAGTTTTTGGTAAATCAAATACTGCGGATATGGACAGTTCTTCCAAGTTATTCATTGAGTTCCAAAACACTCGCGTGATGATAATATTCTGAAGCTTCTCATTTAAAACAACAATCAAGCGTGATGCATTTTAGAGAATTGTTCTGATTCCTTTTAGGGAGGCCAATACTTCAGAATATTTTTAAACTGATGAAGACTGCATTTACAGCAGCTAATATGATAATGATACAGAAAATAAATTACTTTTAATCGATCTAAATATGTTGTCATTTGTATTTTTGTTTGTATAACTTTGGTGTGACGGAAATATACTTAATCTGCAATGGTGTTTGAAAATCACAACCAGAAGATTGAGCGACTCTCTGCTTAGGTTTAATAAAGTTAAGCGTTGGATAAGAGATTTGCTTATTTTTGCTGACAAGGAGAAGGGGGGTTAATAATTGTAGAAAATCTGGAACGCCCCCTGATTGCTAAAATTTCATATATGTAAATGGAACTTTTAGCTATTCAGTTTCCCAAACAAAAAAATTTTACTCGAAAGTAGAATCGAAAGAAAATTTAGTATCTGAAACTTATCCTGTCGATAATCACATGTATTGAAAGATATTCTTTACTGTTTCAATCACAAAGTTGATCTTCTTCAGTACAATTATACCTTTGTGATTGAAACATTTACTGCAGTAAAGGAACTCTGTCAATACATGTGCACAAATTTGTTGCACAAGTTCAATAGCTCTGTTGCGGGGTAGTGTTTAGACCCTTGGCGGCTTAACAACTTCTAGAAAGTGAGGAAAATACGCAAAAATTTGTAAAGCAACAAGAAAATTCGTGGCTTTTCACATGTGACTGCGGCTCTTGTAGCTAAAAGGTGATTCCAAATTAGCATACGTCAACTACCTCGAATGTACTTACGTGCTTTGACCTCTTTAAATATATTCCACTGAAATAACGTGTCACATCACTCACTTTTCCCACAGCCACAGTATGCACAAAATATTGTGAATCTCATGTCAACCGGCTGCGAGCACTTGCCACATACTTTCGCTAAATCGCAGAATGAATTGCTGCTAGCCTACTTGTTATCTAGATCTGTCAAATCGATGGCATCTGACTCAACTTCATGGCGCTCGTCCTGATTACAGTGTTATCATTCCCCTTATCAGTGCGATGCACTGAATTAAAAATAATTGATAAAGTGCTGGTATGAATTGTTTATAATGTATCTAGGTTACCTTGTCAGTCATTCAAGCTGAGTTTTTAGTGTATAATTGGTCGATGGTTCCGTTATTTTAAAAGATATCCAGAACAGTTAGTTAGAAAAGTCGTTGGTAACTATACGCTCCTTACTTGGGAAATATGGTGCTCTGTATATGGTGATTTATAACACAAACATTTGTTGAAATCTAATATCTTATACACCTTAGGAAAAACCATTGTTATACATGGGAAATCATTTCTTGGCAACAGCGCATCGGCTCGTCTACTTTCATCGCTATTCGTACATATTTCCTACCGTTAACCGCAGACCTGTATCACGAATGAGAATAATAGGCAGATACGCTGTGTTGCCAATTTGAGTAGAGCTTCCCGAATTGTGGGGAATTTAGAGTTAAGTGTTGATTCATTCAAGCTTTTAATCAGCATGGCCTAGACGTTAGAACTTCATAAAGATAACATTGAATCTGAATGCTGCTGGAGTATAGTGTTTCGAATATTCAAAGCGGAGCGGGACACTATACTCGTTCAATGGGTCAACAAGCCCCAGTCTTTTCAACAAAGAAATTATTTTACGAAAATGCGTTATATTTTTACGATTTTGTCGTCACCAAATCCCTGTTTCTCAAAATGTACGTCTATAGTAGAATTTTCAGCAAACTAAGCAAGAAACGTGATCTAGTATTTACTCAACATTACGGATTTCTCGAAATACATTAAAAAATGTGACCTAGATACCCTAACTGCCCCAAGCTCTTTAAATATAACACCTTAAACCAGGGTTACCAGGTGCTCAATCACGTTGATTGTCATGTTGTACTGCGCAAGTTAGCAAACAATCTGGCGTAATATGTTTATCTGTTTATCACTACTATTTGATAGTCATATGGTAGTTGTAGCCCTATCTAGCGGTCCATGATTTCTCTCAATACTGTTGTATCTCTACTGGCAACAAGAATAGGGACAAAATCATTTATACAACAATATACAAACATGAAAAATATGATTTGAACCATGAAACATTAATACAATTTTGATAGTTTGAACTTTTTTCATTTTTGGAATACTCTTATATGGAATCCGCAGCTATTTTTCACGAAATTTGGGTATACTTAGATTTCTTAGAAATATGACATATTGGTATCGGCAACTCTGCGAATGGGAGAAACAAATCGCATTTGTTGAGCGCATCCGTCTAAGCGGTAGGCGCCAGCGCCCGTTCTGCCATCTCTCTCTTTTATCACTCTTCTACTTTACCCCGTTGTCCGTCACACTCCGACGCTGCCAGATAAGATCCTACAATCGAGTGTTTTTCACGCACCTACATACTTTTGTATATTTCCATCTCTCTTCCTCATCATAATGTATAATAATGGTTTTTCCCATACTGTATATTTTAGTATATCCTAAAAGGGCTCTTTAAAAGAAGAGATTTGATGTACCTATTAAAGTCTACCTTAAGCTTTAAATCAATAAATCTTCAAAACTACTGAATTGAGGTACATTAATTTTATATCATTATAAAGGGATTTGAAAGACCTTTAAAATAAAGTATCACTGGACCCCCCTTTCCATTTAAGATTTTAGGGTTGGTGTCACCCCCGCCCAGGGGGCTGCACGTGTTAACGTGACTTTTTGCCAAATTTGTGTCCACCTCGAAAGCAAAATCGACGGGTCTGAGCGTTTTTCCAAAAAAAAACTGAGCTGCCAGTAAATGAGTCCGTTTCGTTTTAGATGTTGTCACGATGAACAGGCAGATATCTAACACAGCTGCCTTATCTTTATTAGAAAGTTTGAACTGGTAACTTAGTAACACTATTTTCAATAAATAAATTGCTCTGGCCATTCATCGAGCTTGATGCATGGCGCCTGGCTGTCGAATCTTATTTTTTTTCTCTTTATGTCCGCCAAGGAATATTATTGAAAGTTCGATTCATTTTCGATAGTCGTCTCTAGAAACTTCTTTGGTCAATTCATGTCGATAAAATTCTAGCACCTTGTCAATCTCTGAAATATTCAGGCATGATAGCTTTTCATTATAAATCTGTATTCCTTCGGGATCCACACTTTTCCAGCTCTCACGATACTTTTTAAATATTGGAATGACAGGGCTTGTCGTCACTTGGTCGATATTTGATTAAAACATGCCTTTTAACTCTTTGTTCGTAATTCGCTTAATTGTTAATTATTTTGTGTCGTTGGAATGTTTGTATGTCTGTTTTGCTATACATAAGCTAATAAAAAGCTTCGCCAATATTTGTTTTTAATTAATACCATTTATTCATGAAGGAATTATTTGAACTAAGTATTATAGAATTCCGCGTATACAAATCCATTCATTTCATATTTGATTTTTCCTATTTTTATTTGCAAAACTTGTAGCTGGAAAGCGGTAAATGTAAATAAAATCAAAATGTAACCAGCTCGAGAATTCTGGGCTCAATTATAATTTATCGCTCCACGACGATTTTGAGTTTCTTGATATTAGATGATATATTTTGATGTAACCAACAAGAAATGTTTTGAAGTTTTCATAGGAAGTCCAGTGGCGACGCGTGACTTTTCCTAAACTGTTACCAAAACCAGATATGAAAAATCTTATTAAAAAAGTTTATTTTAAGCCTCCCAAATATAAGTTTATGATTTTTTTAGGTATTTTAGTTAAACTATTTTTAAATTAAGGTAAACATTCCTGGACTGAGCGTCTGGGTCACTTGATATACCTCAGTGTCTTATGCTATGACTAATCTAAGTAGTCCGAAAAAACAGTCGACCTTTCTAGATGTTCGGAAAGCTTCTGGCAACGAATGTTAACAATTCCTTGTAATTTCCTCTATTGTCAGAGTCATCCCCTTCAAAATGAACGGTAATTCCTGCTTTGCTAAAAACATACGGTATCTAGAAGTGTGCTGCCTAAAAGCTTGGTTAAGACAACTTTCGATTATTGTTTTGCCAAACTGAATTAAATTGGCTACACATCTCACATGTAACGGATAAATTTCGTGTCTCCTCTCTACAGCCCAGAACTATTTAAATCGTTGACTCCGCTGCTGGTCCACCCATTTTTTTTCTGTATAAAACAGAAGACATCGCCAACAATACAATTTGTTTTTTTGCAACCACATAACCAAGAGTTTCCATATACTAACTTAATTTAAAATATCAAACTACGTTATTTTATTCCTTTTTAAAATTATCTAAAATAGATGTTGGTCTTCCATTTTCACTGATATCCTTTTTTCTTAAAAATTATACAAGTAGTTGATCCATTACGCAGCGACACTCATCCATGTTTAATTGCACGCACACTCCAGTCGGTAACCAAAACGGCTTCTAACGAGTGAGAAGTGAGTAAGAAAATCAAAAAATGGTAACATAATAGTCGCAGCGCCCCACGCACTCGGGCGACCGCGATAAGACACGAGCCGGTACCGACGGTCCCCGACAGACTACCAAGTGTATCCATAAATGAAAATGGTAACAACCGACCGACAACCAAGTCGAGGCGAGTCAGCTTCATCGTGTTTGAAAAACCTAGACACTATAGGGCGCATTATTTTCGTGGGGATAATTTGATATGTACTGAATTACTATTAGATATTGCTGTTGGTAAACAAATAAATGAACTTATTTCACAGTACTTAGTCATAAAAAATTTATTTTTAAGATTGTTAACTGTTACCAATGATAACAATGGTTACATGGACGCTTCGCCACTGAGGAAGTCGGTATTTCTCAAGTTATTGGATTCCAATGTTGGAAACATGAACCTTCATACCTGTTTAAAATCGTTGCGTTTGAGGATATTCATCGATTTATATTTTAACATACTTTCTTGTTAGCTGGGTTACTATTTAAAAGACAAATTCCAAATTGGATTCCACCTTGACAGTGATATTGAGGGTTATGGTCAAGGTCAGGTCAATTTCTAAAAGTCGTATATGCTACTTTTCGCCATGAAAAAAGCGGAACATCTAATTTCTTGTAGTACTGTTGTACTATTATTATTATTATTCTGACTGACTGAGCGGTAATAGATCTTACTTTAACAAGGTCACCGTCAAAGTCAAATCCGTGATCGCCATTGGACAGTCTTTGAGAAATCCTAACAACAGTATGTTTTACCTCTTCTCTGATGATATTATTCTACGACTTACGTTATATTCCCATATCCAACGATAACCCCTACTTTGGGGTTTGTGGGTTCCATAGGGGGTAAAGGAGGGGTGTCAGGGGGTTGGCCCCATTGGACTTTTCCATAAGGAAATTGCCTGGTTCTTTCCGCAATTAACGAATTTCCACAGATCTGAACAAATAAATCGAGACCTCGATTTAGCTGCAAATGTGTTTTTTTGTCTCCCGTAGAATAAGAAATACCTAAATGCTGTTTTGAAATTCTTATTTCCCCCTCCCTTCTCTTAAAGATAATACGTGATGATGTATACAAGTAAGTTTTTCTGCACATAACAGCGCGCCGCTAGTGTATTTGAGGTTATATCGGGATTCCCTTTCCTTCCCTTCTCCTACAAAAATATGTAATTGTGCATATACTTGAGCATTTCGCGAATGGCGCAAGTAGTTTGCAGTCAAAATATACGTAAAGCTTTTTCTGAAACAGAAGCTATTTACTTTTTCATATATTATAGCTGTAAAACTAAAGAATCTGGGATTTTGGCAACATGGAAGCGTTCCATTGTCTTTCCGATCACAACCAGTTGCAAGCGTTTTTGCTACTTTGTTGCTCTAGATCGGCAAACCAATCACTTGCGATCGGTCCATACAAAATCTTAACTTGCGTGCCATATTTAATTTAAATATTCATTAAACATTTATTCCTGGATTATAATTGTGGACAAAGAAATGACGGAATATGCTCACTGACTCCCCTATTTACTCCCCTGTTAGCTGGATGACTATTTAACAGACAAGTTCCAGTATTGCCGAGATAACCGGAGGCATAATTTTAGCCCGATAGTCTGTTTATCCAACGGATTAAACAGAGTTTCCATTGACAAAAAGCACCGATGGCAGATGACACATTAAGGC